GTCATGCTTTTCGGTTTGACAAATGCTCCTGCTGTATTCATGGTTATGATGAATCGTGTATGCCACCCAATGTTCGATAAATTTGTCATTGTATTCATTGACAATATTCTAATATATTCACAATATGAAGCTAATCATGCCATTCATATTCGTGCGGTATTGGAACTTCTTCGAAAGGAGAAACTATACGCTAAATTCTCGAAATGTGAATTTTGGCTTCGCCAAGTTCAATTTCTTGGCCATGTTATTTCTAGTGACGGTGTATCTGTAGATCCTACTAAAACCAAAGCCATTCAGAATTGGGAAGCACCTCGTAATGGTTTTGAAATTCGCAGTTTCTTAGGTCTCGCGGGATACTACCGGAGATTTATTAAATTTTTCTCGCATATAGCCGTATCTCTCACGAGTCTTACGCAGAAGGAAGTAAAGTTCGAATGGGGTGAAGCCCAAGAAAAAACTTTCTCAACTCTAAAAGATCTTTTGACTCATGCTCCAATCTTATCGCTCCCAGAAGGTGATGATGATTTATCCGTAAATAGCAATGCTTCAAGATTGTGACTCGGTTGTGTGTTGATGCAACATGGTAAAGTTATAGGCTATGCCTCAAGAGAACTGACAGATTATGAAAAGAATTATCCCACTCATGATCTTGAACTTGCTGTAGTGGTATTTGCCCTAAAACTTTGGAGGCATTATCTTAATGGTACAAAATGCCAATTGTTTACCGACCATAAAAGTCTCAAGTATATATTCAGTCAACAAACTTTGAATATGAGACAACAACGAGCCATGGAGCTAATCAAAGATTATGACTGTGAATTACTATATCATCCTAGAAAAGGCCAATGTAGTTGCCGATGAACTTAGTAGAAAAGTTTATCGTAATATTATGTGTTATGCTATTACTCACACTACAATAAAGTTCACTATTCTTGATGAACTAGAGAAATGGCAACAAGAGGCCTTAAAACCATAAAATGTGAAGAAAGAAGGGATGGTACATTTTACTGATTTTTTAATTGATGATCCATGAGGATTGAAGGTATTTAAGAATCGGCAATGGATTCCAGAGATTGGTGGATTAAGACAGAAGATTTTAGATGAAGCCCATAAATCTAAACTGTCAATACATCCTTGTACAAGCAAAATGTACTATGATGTACGGGCTGACTATTGGTGGCCAGGATTAAAGAGAGACATTGGAAGATATGTACAAGAATGCTTGATATGCTTACAAGTAAAAACATAGCACCAAAAGCCTTACGGAACCCCAGAAAGTCTTAGTGTTCCTGTACAGAAATGGGAAGAAGTGTCCATGGATTTTATTACCAAATTGCCAAAGACTGCTAGACAGCATGATAGCATTTGGGTAATTGTCGACCTACTGACTAAGAGTGCACATTTTCTCGCCATGCGTGAAACAGCTCCAATGGAAAAATACGCACAAGTATACCTAGATGAAATTGTTGCAAGACATGGTGTGCCACTGAAGATCATTTCCGATCGTGATAATAGTTTCACTTCTCATTTTTGGGTGAGTATGCAACGTGAATTGGGATCTCGAGTTGCTCGTAGCACAAATTATCATCCCCAGAAAGACAGTCAGACGAAGAGAACAATCCAAATAGTAGAAGATATGCTTCGTGCATGTGTTTTGGAGTTCGGTGGTAATTGGGATAAGTATTTACCGCTTGTCGAATTTTCGTATAATAATAGTTACCATGCTTTAATCAAAATGCCACCATATGAAGCATTATATGGTCGCAAGTGTCATACTCCATTATGTTGGCGTGAAGTAGGATAGAAAATCGTACGTGAAAGAATGAAAGCAGCCTAGGATCGAAAAAATTCCTATACATAAAAGAGGAGACGACCCATAGAATTCCAGGTGGGTGATTTCATAATGCTGAAGGTATCCCCGTGGAAAGGTCTTATGCTATTTGGAAAGAAAGGAAAAATAAGTCCCAGATTTGTTGGTCCTTTCAAAATCATTCGAAGAATTGGTAAGAAAGCATACCGCTTGGAATTACCTAAAGATTTTGCAGGTATTCATGACATATTTCATGTGAGTTATCTGCACGAATGCTTAAGCATCTATGAAGAAAAAATTCCATTATCCGAGGTGAAATTGGATAATAAGTTAAGATATATAGAAGAGCCTGAAGAGATCATCAATGAAAGAACAACTAATCTACGTAATAAAGAAGTAAAGTTGGTGCTTGTCAAGTGGATACACCATCGAGAACCAAATTATACATGGGAAAATAAGAGTGAGATAAAAGAAAAATATCACCATTTGTTTTAATCGCTATAATTTCGGGGACGAAATCCTCAAAAGGAGGAGGTATCACTACTAGAAAAACAGCCTTTTACGACACTCAATGCGCGTCGTAAAAGGCTCAGACGATGCGCAAATGCGCGTCAAGGAAGGCCTTGTCATAAAGAGAGACGACGCGCTTTTGCGCTTCGTCTATAGACGACACACATTTATGATGCTCATTTACAACGGGCAATTACGACGTGCGTTTACGACATGCAATGCGTATCAAGGAAGACCCTGTCATAAAGGAAGACGAAACACATTCATGTGTCGTAACCTTACGATGCGCGTGTTAATGGCACACAATGCATATCAAGAAAGCCCCTGTCAAGAAAGGCCATGTCATAAATGAAGATGACACACATTTTTGCGTATCATAATTTTAAATGTTTTAAAAAAATATTATTTATAGATTTAATTATTTTCACATTAAATTTGTATTTAATGTTTCATAATAGAAAATAAAATATCATATACAAAAAATAGAATCCATTGCATAAACTTAATGTCATACAAATAATCTTTCCATGGAAAGATAAAACAAATATAAACCATGATTGGATAACATCAAGTGAGCAAAAGTAATTACATTAACTAACTATGAAGTAAAAAAATATGTATTGCTTCAATTATGTTATACTAAATCAATATGAACCTTTTGCTGATGAGAATGCTTTTGGCAAAAAGACTTCACTCTATCAAGAGCTTTTTCAAGAGAAGATGGGATTGCAACAAAAGTTACACGAATCCAGTTTTTCAAACCTACAGTAAGTCCTACAACACCCAAAAAGAAAGATATTTATTAGGTCATTATAAAATTCAACAAAATGTTACAAAAGGATTGTAATCACCTGGAAGAAGAATCATGGATTCCTATTTGGCCAGGTTGAAATAGAAGTCAATATCATCACTAATATCTTTTAGTAAAGAAACATTCAGTTTAACCTACGCAAAACAAAAGAAACAATTTTAACAAAACTTGAAAAGTATTTACCATTAAATTTAAACCAAAACACCTAAACCCTTACCATAACAGCCATAGCTCCCTGTGGTTTTTCATTATGCTAAGAATTCTTGTAAAGAACATTTCTTTGTATCCTCAAGGATCCCAGGAACACAACAAGAAATTACCAAAAGTACAAAAGAAAGATTTAATTACTAAATTAAGAATTTATAAAATGGGACAAAAGGGGAGTTGGGAAATACCTTGTCATCATCTTGCAACATCATTCTGCTACTCAAATATGAAACCATATGTTACAATTTATATTATACCTCAAGGTCACCATCATGTTCACTCATGGCAAGGCCATGCAATAGCATGCGGCAACATAAAACAAAAGTTCATAAAGAATGATATGAGAGGATTTTTTTATAAAAAATGAATATATATATATATATATATATATATATATATATATATATATATATATATATATATATATATATAATCATAAAGAATGATATGAGAGGATTTTTTTATAAAAAATGAATATATATATATATATATATATATATATATATATATATATATATATATAAAATACCTTCCAAAGGACATTTTTATGTCCTCTTCGAATCCGACATTGGTTATTGACATAGGCTGAGGGATTAAAGTAGATGCTAACATTTTTTGACGATCGCTATTTTTCTGACTAAAAGAAAAAAAGATAGATAGGAAGTGAGTTTGGTTATTTAATCATAAAAATAAAATCTTGTGGTGACAATTTTGTTGGATTCTTTTATTCATTGTTTCATTTTTTTCTACTTTTCCTAAATTTTGTTGTAAGCAAATTTATAGGTGATCAAAAAGATTGTTGAATTCTACGATCCAATTAAGTTTTCATTTGTTGTTTACAGTCATCGAAAGCTTATAGGTAGTCAAAAAGTTTATTGTTTCAATTTGATGTTGTTTACAAGAAGGAAGTGGTAAAATTGATGTAAAATGGATTAGAAGTTGAGCAGGGAGACAATCAACATAAGGTAATTTTTTACAAAACTTTGACACTTTGATACATGGAACACTAATCTCATTCAGCCCTGATGTGAAATTGATGATATCTACTTCATGTATAAGGTTGCAAGATTTTGGCAAGGAGATTCAGCAAGAATAACAAGAAGATATACATAAGGTAATTCTAAGACCAAGTTACAGTCCAATGGATAAAAAAAATGAAAAATCTTTTAGCTTATGTTATATTTGAACGTTACCAGATTTCTACTTTTCTAATAAGGTAATATTTTTATAAGCTAATGGGTTGGCTTATTATTTGTTTTTTTGTTTTAGTCACTGAATGTGAGCATTCACCTGTTGTAAGGTATCATGCTGCCATCTTTGCAATAGTTCAATCTTATTATCAACATCAGGTGTTTTCTGTTTTACTTTTCCCCATTTCCAGTTACAATTTTACTGATACCATTAGAAGTGTAGTTTTTTTTTCTTTTAGAGAACCTATAATGAAATATCTTGTAAAAAGACTTAGAACTAAATGCTCATTACATCTTAAATAATGCATGGTTTTTTGTCTGCCTGTTCCAAAATTGGTGGACGTAATGGTTTGCCACACGACCCATATGGATCAATATATGATAAAATATTATGCATATCAACTGTTTGACAAAATTCCATGCCTATACCATTTATGATCTTTAGTCCCTTTGATCAATATTAAATTTGAAATTAGACATAAACAGTAGCACCAACGCCCTGCCAAAACAATAAAAATGATGACCACTATTTTCATGAAAAATTTTCTTCATATGAATTCTTTCTACATAGGGCAATTAAGCAAACTAACTTGACTAAGTTGACATGGTTTCTAATTGGAACTAGTTTCTAGATGATGAATGGAATATAAATTTAGCAAGTAGGGTTTTGAACAACAAATATGTTGTTACCTTAACGAGGCCAGGTGGACCAATGATAACAAGATCTTCTAGAGCTTCTACTTTGTCTAGTGATAAGGTGTTGTATAACATATCAACATCCTCAAACTCATCAAAATCCTCCTGCAGATGAAATGGTTTGTGGTGGTTTTAGATGCTTTGTGAAAAGTGAAAACCCAAGATTTTTGTATCATCAACGAAGTCCTTATTTCGTTCCACATAGTGGAGAGAACCTTAAAGAAACTATTGAGAAAATGTGAAAGGGAAAAAGTATATGATGACCTGATGTCGTTCCACATAGTCATCAATGAAGTCCTCAACTCTAGCTTCATTATATGAGCCTTATGTCGAACAATTGATGAATATAAATGTGTCTATCAAACAAAAGAGTGAAAGACATCCATTAAATTATCAACTGTAAGGTAGATATTGAATAATGGTCGTTGATTGAGTGAATGTAGTAAATAAAACATACCTGTATAGAGTTGTAGAAATTAGAAAACGAATGCTTTTTTGATTAGAGGGAGATGAAGAGAAGAAGTTACCAGAATAAAACGAGGACAAAAACTATGTTTCTGTAGAAATTGTAGAGGATCATGTAACCCATTCTTTGGTAATTCTAGTGTCTGGGGACTAACAAAATAGGGACCAGAAAACGGAATTGAGCCATGGCAAAATCCGATGACATCACACATTACTAAAAGTAAGCCTAACAAAAGAACTACATTGCAGTGTCACTTGTAATATTGGTAAAGATGAATACATACCCTGTACTCTGTACAACCTGACCAACATTTGCAACAGAAACCTCACGTTTAGTAGCAGCAGCTCCATCCAACAAAGCTTCAACAGTTCTTGGCATAAGTTCAGGGATATGTTATCTCATAACAAAAGCACCCTACACATATACAAGTAAGACTCAACAAATCAAACATTTTACATTTAAGAGAACACAAACAATTTAACAATCTCCTACCACTCTAGCAAGATATCCCACAGTTACAAGAACACCACTGATGGTGCCATTGTTTGCATTCACTTCTGTTGTTCCTTCACATAGTTTAGCCAAAAGCGCCTGAAATATGCCACGCCAGCTTATAGAATAACTAAATATGCATATATATATATATATATATATATATATATATATATATATATATGTGTGTGTGTGTGTGTGTGTGTTTGTGTGTGTGTGAAAGTTTAAATAGCACTTAGGGTAGGATAGCTTCCAGTTGTGAAAAAGCTTATGGATTTTAGTGTTTCAGATCTGAGTATATAAACCTCACCTCACTATATAAACCAAATCATCAACATCCATACACCAAGGGTATAATCATCATTTAACTCTTACATGCTTAAGCCAAAGCCTAAGACTGAATGTATCAAGTCATTAACTTTTTACCTTATGTAACTTATATCATGTTCAAATTGATGATATTATGAAATTTGTTAACTGGAATGTAAAGGGTATAATGGTTATTTTCTCTCCACACCAGAATTGAAGAGATGAAAATTATTTACCTTAATAGAGACCTTGGTCTTAACCTGATTTTCCAGAGCTTCAGCCATTGACTACAACCAATGAAACATGAAGTGATAATGATATCTCACATATTAAATAATCATCAAAATACATACTACCTTCACACTGAATTTAACACATAGTTAAAAAAGAAGAAGAATAAGAAGAAGCTCTGAAGAGTTAAGAGACCTTATCAAACTGAACAAGAACTTGAATAGCAAGCTCATCAACAATAATTCCACTGAACAAGAACTTGAATAGCTAGTCTGGTACATATAGACTCTGTATAAACTTTGTAAAAATCGACTGCACAAAAAATCATTCTAAAAGATGATTTCAAATTGAGTCTTATATACAAAATTATAGTACTCAGAATAAGAAATTGAACATTAGTGTGTAAGATGGTTCAGTGAATTAGAAGAATTAAGAGTCTAAGAATTGATGTGGAAACAGTCGGCAGTTTCCCGCCATTCCATAAAATCGGTGTACCAATATCAGAAATGGAAATACCAATTTCAGAAATTGAACCTGAAATCGTGTTTTGGAACTATTAGATTACCAAATCAAACTTGTTCCAGATTCCAATTGGGAACTATCTCGACACTATACTGGTTTGCGATCCAGGTCACATTCAGAACACTTTCGTACCCGATTGGGTACGAAACGATTTAGTATGCAGTTCGTGGCCTTCTGAGTGAATTAGGTAACTATGATACCATCTCATCCAAAGTTTTAGTCAAACACCTTATTCATGATTATAAGATAGTGGCATGTGACTCAGTTACATAGATATTAAAGAGAAGAATTTGGAGAAGGGTGAATTGAACACCTTATTCTTTTTGTCTAATTTACACCTTACCTAATCATTTGAAACTCAGATCCATTGGTGTATGCATGACTATCTCGCATCATTGATTTATCACTAAGACTCATAATTAGGCGTTACAGTGTGATTCTAGGTTGCCGCCTCCAGCTCCTCTGCATATATAATCTAGAAACTGAAAGTATTAGGCTTAAAATTGATATGTAAAAGATGAGAAGATAAATGAGAAGATGAGAAGATATATGTACCATGGCATTAAAATTGATACAAACCTTTTTTGGTCAAGTATAGATGTTTGATATGGGTGTTTTGGTCATCAATCTCGTTTTCTTGATTTTTCAGACCATCTGCTGATAGACTCATGCTTGCTGCTAGGTCGGATGGTTTAGATGGATCAGAGTTAACCCTGCCTCCGGTGGCAGGAATGCGAGGATTAGTTAACCTAGCCATGATTTGAGGTTCGAGAGTGGTGCTTCTAGACAAAGAACCACCAAGTGCAGATGCGTAAGTAAGAGAAGCTGATGACATCGCGTAAGGATGGTTTGGGCTCGAAACGTAAAGCTTGCATGGAAACAAGATCTTCGTGAAAATCAAAATACGAAAATAAATAGTGTGTTCGTCTCCCCTTACATGTTTTGAACCAGGCGAGAGGGATGAGATGGAAATACGAGAGTGAGATAGAAAAAATTAGGGTTGGCTTTAGGAACCTTAAATCATCAAATTGATAACTGGGAGGTAAGAACCCTAAATCCTCAGCTCATTAGGGTTGAATTAAGAGTGTAAGAGCTTGTCGGAACCGAGAATTAGGTTTTTGGTGGAGGTGATGGATTGAGGAATTGAGGAAGCTGTGGATGAAGACGAAGGCCCTAATTCGAAGAGGCGGGGAATTTTTGGGATGAATAGGCGGGGGTTAATTTTTTTGATTCCATTTTCCCACTAAAAACGCGTGTTTCCAAAAAAAAAATATAAAGCGACACAGTTACACTACACACATCTTTTGATAGGTTCCCTCCGTATTTTTTTTTTCTTTTATGACACTACTTTTAGGGTACGTAAAAATGCGTGTCCTCTATCCTTCAAATTTTAGAAAACTAACATTAATTTTTAGGGCACGCTCAAATCCGCATCCTCTATCAGTGTGTGTCATTAAATGCGCGTCATAAAAGGTTATTTTTCTAGTAGTGTACTTGTAACATACACGGTCAGTTATCATGTATTGTAAATTATAAAAGTGAATAATATTACAAAATATTATGTAAATTAGAATGTTGAGTTCTAACATATGGTTTTTACTAGAAATAAAGTAAAACTATGTTTAGAATCACTCATAAAATATTGGGAGTCTTATGAAATTCCAGTTAAAGGCCAAATAGTGAAATTTAGCGAAAATATAAAATTTGAAATAAGTGAAATTTTATTATTTAAATTTATAGAGAATCTTGTTAGAAACATTTAGGCGAAAACCTCATCGAAATCCGAGTTATAACGAAGAAGTTATGACCAATCAAAGATTCGCAACAAAACCGGCATGACGCCGAATGACGTAAAATGTGAGTTTTTGATAAACTACTTTTTAGCCTTAGTAATCTAAATGAAAGTCGTAGTATTCATTAAATTGAGAAGTTTGATAAAAAGAATGCAAAAATCTGACTTTGTATGAGGAAGTTATGATTTTTCTAAGTTTCGGAATAGCAGTACATAGCTAAAAACTCGAATTTTAGATCGAGTGATTTTTAGCTAGCTTACACAACCTAATCGAGAATTGAAGGTCTCGTCATTAGGAGTACAACGGTAAAAAGTCTAACGAAAACGGATATCGGATGAAGAAGTTTTGAATTTTTAACGGATTTTTCTCTCCCGGTCTGTTAAAAATAATAATATTAAAATTAAATTCAAAATTAGCCAACAAAGTTTATATGAACGTTGTAGAGCATAATCTTAGCTACGCGTGCATATAAAGAATGTCAAAAAAACGAAGCTCGTATGCGAACGTTATGGATTTTAGAAGATTTGGGCTCAATTTCCGAGAAATTCGCATGGATAAGCCTTATCCGGAACCAGCCACGTCACCTCACATGAATAGTAGCCGTGTGTCGCCTTCCGATTGGACGGAATTTCGGTCTGGTAAGCTTCCAACGCGCCTTTTGGCATCGTAGGCAACATCTAAGATGCCTCGTAAGACGTCTCGCTCCAACTGCCGCGTGTACCGAGCCTCGCAGCCTCGCTGCCACATGCCTCTCCCTCCTTGCTTCGGATCCGAACCTCGGCCCTATATAAGGCCTGCTAGACCTCCTGGCTAATGTTGGATTTTTAGCACCTTTTCACCTCTTATTCCATATTTTTGGCTATTTCCATTTCCCCTAAAGCCCCGATATCATTTTTTAAAGCCCGAAACACGTCCCGAAGTGTTCGGGGGGCCCGAGAAATTTATCTTTTTGGTTTGAAGCCCTACCTTCGCAGAGCCCGGTTTTCAAGAAAGCTCCCGGTTTTTATAGAAGAAAGTTATATATAGTAACGAAGTGCTGCCGAAATTAGTATTTTAACCCCCGGTTATTTCATAATGAGTTTAATATATAGGAACAATTGTGTGTTATGTGTTATATGTGCTATGTGCTTTTCAATGTTATTATTCCGGGTTATTTTCCCGTGTTATTTTTATTCACTATTTTTAATAGCAAAGAAATACCTCTGACCATGTGATCAGTGAAAGGACTTAGATTCATGTCTGTACTAGTATGTAGCCTTTGGCCATGTAGAACATGTCTCCGTAAGAGATTGATTTCTATTCTATGGTGTTGGCAAATGGTTAGATAGGGATATAAGCCTGAAATCTACCAAAATGTTAATCAGAAATTGTATGTATTTTGTTCTATTTGGGCCGAAGCTTTATTGATGTATATCAAGTATTGAAATTGTTATGTCTCACTGATTGTATATCTTTGAATCAAGTCATTGATTGATGTGGAAAGTTTGTCACATGATTCACATATGCCTTTGTTGTTCCTTGTTCCTCTTTGCTTCTGCCATATTGAAGTATATATATATGGCATAACGTTATATTGTATCTATTATTTAACTCACTAAGCGTCACCGCCTACCCTCTTAATGTTTTAATATATTGCAGGCAATAAGCATCCAGTATAGCTTTATACTGTTGGAAGAATTAAAATAGTTTATACTATTACTTTTGTATTTAAGTTTTAGTATGTATAAAATATACAATATCCTTGGTAGTTTTATGATAAACTTAAACTTAGTCGGTGTGTATCCAGTTGTTTGTAAATAAATTATCAATGTAAAATATTTTTTGTGAATATGCACGTAGCATGTTTTGGATTAACAACTGTTTTAATATTCTGAAAGCATGAAGGGTCTTTCAAGCATGCTTATGGCATTGTCATCTTTGACATTTCAACAAGACGCGCATAGCCCAAATCCAAAAGGATGGAGTGTTAGAGTCATTTGACTTAAATTCGGAGGACACGTGTGAATCTTGTTTACTTGGAAAGTAGCTATA